CCCTCCCTTACCCCCCCCCTCCAGTTTGTATGTTTGCATTGAAATATTTTTTTAATGTCATTGTGTGAGGGTCTTGACCCATCAGCTCTTCACTGGTTGATGTTTTTTGCTGAAGAGACCATGGTTTTCTGATCCCCTTCCCAGGACAGAGCTGGAGCTTCAGGTTCTCAGTGAGCTACGGAGAGCTCCGCGCTGGGAAAGAAAACGTCTTCGGTCGATGGGGTTTTAAGAGTGAGCAACGCTTTGGCAAAAGGGTTAAAAAACCCCAACGATAACCTCTCTGGAGAGCTCAAACAGAACTGCAAAGACCAAGATGTGGTAATTGTGACAGGTGATGCGAGCGGATGGAGACTTGTTCAGTTCCCCCACCTCCCCCAAGGTGGCAGTGGCACCTCAGGCCAGCACCGCGCCACCTCAACAGAAAAGTGATTTTCAAGTTTTTCACTGAAACAAACTACAGGACATTTTTTAAAGCCTGTAGTAAATATATAAATTTAAAGAAAAAGCATTGGTGAGCTTGTAATCTCAACCAAAAGGTATAACATTAAAACCTTCTCCCTTCAGAATCGGTTTTTCCGTCCCTGTTGGAAACAAGCACTGTGCGTTGACGATGGGTTGTGTTGTGTGGGTGTGATGGAGCTGAAGAGCCAGTGACAGCGTTTATGTTTCGATATCATCAGCAGGAGAACTTACATCGGCGTGAAACCATGGATACCAGCTCCTGTCTCTCTCCACACTTCTGGCAGCGGTGAGATGGTCTGTATCCTCAATTCCCAAATCATAAACATCGTTCAGAGAGCAACATCATTTATGGAGAGGTTTCGTGGGAGGTCCTTACGTGGGGGAGCGCTGCCAGATGAGAAAGTACCAGCTGGAATTCCCTCTGCCACCCATCCCTGCCTCCAGAGACCAAATACAGGATTTTTGGACAGTGAGACTGAGCTTTTATTTTTTTCAAAGAATATCTGCAATTTCATGAGCATCAGACAGAGATAGCATGATACCTATGTCATTGTAGTGATACTCAAACTGGAGAGAGGAAAACATGATCTCCATTACAACTGTAGGTATCACAGTTTTACTCTGAAAAAAAACCCTTTTTTCCCCAAAAAGAAGTCACTGGGTGCCTGTAAATGATATTCCAAAGTCCTCCCACGCAAAGGAGTCTCTCCCAGACCATGAGGCAGGCTGATCCAGCAGAAGGGCTTTGCCCACAGAGGCAGAAAATTATTCTTGAAGTCAGTAGATCCATGTGAGCACAGCATCAGTGGTTCGATTGAAGCCTCAGGAGTCCTCCTCGGATGCGCCGGGTCCGACTATATCAGCGGATAAGAGGCATAGCTGGCGATCCCGCAATGGTTCGCGTGGTTTCTTGCCATGCGGATGTAGCCCTGGTCGCCAAAACGTACGCCCCAACTTTTGGCACACGAAAGAAACGAAAAGAGTGAGAAAAATCCAGTCCCTTTTTCTGCAAGCGCAGCAGCAGCTTCATCAACATCACAGCGATGAAGTGTTTTCATTAACCGCTTCTTGGGATTTCTAATCCTGTATTAAGTTGTGACTGTGCTCATCAATATGAAGGGAACTTAAAAATGTGTGTCTTTTAAATGTATTTAAAGTTCCTTCCTGCTGCTGGGGTGACATAAAGATGCTTTGGCATGGCTGAGCACGAATCCTGAGGGAGCAGTTTAAGGACCAATTCTAACTCTAAACTCTCTAACAACCCCCGTTGCACAAGCACCCAACTGATCTCCCTCCCGTCAGTTATAAAATTGGGAGGGTGTCGGGTCGAGCAGTGGGAGGTTATGTAGGAGAAGCCTGTCCCTATAGATCCTGAGCATATGGATAACGGGAGTTCAGGGATGTACGGTCGCACCTTTACCTGTTTTTCACAAGCCAGTAGTCCTTATCGTTTAGGGTGCCATAGCCGATCGCAAGTACTCCGTGGTTCACCTCCTGCGTGCAGCGGGGGTCATCGTACACGCCTGGGAAAAAAAGGAGTTTGGAAACACATCATCAGACCACAGGACCCCGTCTCTGAGCCGCGAGCGGGACTCAATCCAACCTTCAGCATCGTCACTAGCACCGCTACCTTAGCTTTTGTCGTTTTGATGCCTTCATCCAGAAATTAAGCCCCAACATGCCAAATTCCACCCAATTTTGTAAGCTTTCCATGCAGAAAGACACAGAAAACTGTGAAGAAGATCTCCAGGGTAGAAGGACATACCTGACCTGTACAAGAAGAACGTGGGCAGGGTGGCGTCAATGGCGACAGAGACCGGCCCGATGTTGGCCACAGCGTCTTTCAGGGCAGCTTCATCGGCATGCGGGAGCTCAACGTACTTGGAGCAGGTGGCGGCTCGCGTGGAAGCGTTGTATTGACAGGTCCCATTCTGGTAGGAACAAGGGGGAGTTGAGAAGAGGAGCGTGAGGAATCCACCAGGAACATCTCAAGACTTCCAGGTATGTGTTTTCTATCAGCCCTCTTTTGCTTTGTGTTACCCTATTCATCACTTTTCCTCGACTACCATTTTTCTGTACACACGACTAAGGAAAAGGTGGCTGGAAGGACCTGAAGAGACATCTCACTTCCCCACGGCAAGAGCAGCCAACCCATTTCAGCAGAATTCTCTGCCTTTTTTCTAGAAACCTCCGATGAAAATATTTCTGTCACTTCCCTAGAGAAACTGTCTTTGCTTCCTCACCCTTCCCATCTGAAGGCTCCTCCTCAATTTTTTCTATTGTAAATGAAGCCCACAGCTTCTCGTTCTCCCTCTGGATACAGACAACAGCGTCTTTCCTCTCTGTCGCTGCCTTATGCGTGTTTGAAGACTTGTACTCCACTTTTCTTTCTTGGACTGAGCTGCTGTTACTTTGACCTGTTTCCATAGGCCATGTTTTCAGGACACCAGGTCTTTTCAGAGCATCTCTTTTATCTCTGGCCATCAAGACCCTTAGCATTAGGACCTTTATTTTCTTATGGCTCTTTCCTTACGACCTTGCAAGTCGTGCAGCGTCTGTTACTTAAACAAAAAAACAAACTATGAATGTCGTTCACTGGAAAGCTCTGCCCGCTGAGATGGTGGAAATGTCAAGATCCCATTTTAAAACTAAAGAAGATGGAGTAACACAGAGAGCTGAGAACAGAACCCAGGGCTCCTGTCCCCTTTTTCCCTCTGTGTAATATGTTGCTTCATAATTTATGTAGGATGGAAATAAACATGTAGAAATTCTGTCTCCCAGTCCAGTCATTCACCTATGAGAAAATAAAAAGTCTAAAATTCCCTTCCCTGAGTCTGAAAGAATCAGCTGCAAAGGCCAAGAAGATGACATGAGACTGGCAGAAACCAAGACAGAGGTGGATCCATGGGAGAGAAGGAGAAGGGTGTCTGCACAGGAGAGCTGAACAAGTTGCCATGTTGCTTCCATGCTCACGTGCTGTCTAGGTCTGGCGCCTACCTGAGCCGTGTAGGGGTAGGAATCGTCCGAGTCGATCCCTTCATTGTCGATGATGTACTGGAAAGCATTGGTCATGAAACCTCCGCTGCAGCCTTTGTTCCCGTACATCATGGAGCAGTCGACGAGGTTCTGGGCGCTCAGGGACACCAGCTTCCCTGTCTTCAGCTTCACCTGGGCTTCCAGGGCTCCCACAGCGCTGAACGCCCAGCACGACCCACACGCGCCCTGAAAAAGCCCCAGAGATGCTCAGACCAAGCACGAGACTGAGACATGAAGAGGCACAGAAAGAGCTTCGCACCTGATTCTTCACATCCGTGACGCATCCCTTCTCCCTCCAGTCC